CACCTTTCAGCTGTTATTACACTCCATGATTCTTTAACAACATTCCACAATTCATTTACATTTCTTGGTTTTGCTTCAGAAACAGCATTTTTGATATCACCCCACAAGTTCTCGATTGGATTAAGGTCCGGGGATTGGGCTGGCCACTCCATAACATTAATTTTGTTGGTTTGGAACCAAGACTTTGCTCGTTTACTAGTGTGTTTGGGGTCATTGTCTTGTTGAAACAACCATTTCAAGGGCATGTCCTCTTCAGCATAAGGCAACATGACCTCTTCAAGTATTTTGACATATGCAAACTGATCCATGATCCCTGGTATGCGATAAATAGGCCCAACACCATAGTAGGAGAAACATGCCCATATCATGATGCTTGCACCACCATGCTTCACTGTCTTCACTGTGTACTGTGGCTTGAATTCAGAGTTTGGGGGTCGTCTCACAAACTGTCTGTAGCCCTTGGACCCAAAAAGAACAATTTTACTCTCATCAGTCCACAAAATGTTCCTCCATTTCTCTTTAGGCCAGTTGACGTGTTCTTTGGCAAATTGTAACCTCTTCTGCACGTGCCTTTTTTTTAACAGAGGGACTTTGCGGGGGATTCTTGAAAATAGATTAGCTTCACACAGACGTCTTCTAACTGTCACAGTACTTACAGGTAACTCCAGACTGTCTTTGATCATCCTGGAGCTGATCATTGGCTGGGCCTTTGCCATTCTGGTTATTCTTCGATCCATTTTGATGGTTGTCTTCCGTTTTCTTCCACGTCTCTCTGGTTTTGCTCTCCATTTTAAGGCATTGGAGATCATTTTAGCTGAACAGCCTATAATTTTTTGCACCTCTTTATAGGTTTTCCCCTCTCCAATCAACTTTTTAATCAAAGTACGCTGTTCTTCTGAACAATGTCTTGAACGACCCATTTTCCTCAGGCTTTCAAATGCATGTTCAACAAGTGCTGGCTTCATCCTTAAATAGGGGCCACCTGATTCACACCTGTTATTTCACAAAATTGATGACCTCACTGATTGAATGCCACACTGCTATTTTTTTAACACACCCCTTTCAACTAATTGCCCAATTGCACAGCCTTAAGAGCGTGCATATCATGAATGCTGGGTCTTGTTTGCTTTCTGAGAATCTACTGCACCTACTGGTAACTTGTTTGCCATGTAGCAATAAAAAATATACTAAAAACCTGGATTATTCTGGTTAGTCACATTGTACTGCTATTATTTTGAACAATACCGTATAACTGTTTATTCTTTAGGGTCAATCTAGCTCTGCAATTCACTTTCAGCTGGCAGTCACTTGCAATAAAAAAAACATTTTTTCATTCTTTTGAGGGTCATTGTAGCTGATAAAATAGTAATTCTGTAATACCATAATACTGTGAAACCGTGACATTTTCTGAGATATTGCTGCTTCTTCCTGCATGCTAACTGCTCATCTTTGCGCTCCAGCCTAAGGTGTATATGTGTGTATGCAGAGGAGTTAGGGTGTGGAGCAAAGGCAGTCATGGGGAAAATTAAATCAGAGGTCCTCGTTTCATCCCCAGAGCTGTGCTTAATGAGAGGGCAAAAACGTGGGCACAAGCGCACGCGTGCGCACACGCACACACACATGCACGCGCTTATAATGACTGGCAATTTAGTAGCATCCAGCTGCTGCTTTTACCTTTTCAACACACAACAAATGGTGGAAAGGGGCTGTGGGAGAGAACATTACAGCACCATACGATATTCATGGCATGTGCACAGACACATGCACACCCATATGTCATCCACTGTCACCTGAGCAAAACCAATCTAAGGACAAAATCCATTCCAATTAGGATGCTGCTACTCTGCCCTGCATGTGGATGCAGATTAATCAGTAAAGAAATATCCTTCTTAACCTGTCATTCCATTTTCACAACACAGTCAACTGAGACTGGATGTTTTGCTTTTTTTGACTTTCTTTGACTTAAAAGTAATGAAATGAATTCCCTAATTGTGTGGAAAGATCATTTTGAAAGTCTGTAACAATATTATTACACAGTACTTGTATTGGTGCTCAGTATTGCAAGTAGTCAAATGCAAGTCTGAATGAAGTATTTGTATTGTGTATTCCTAATTGAAAACTGCACAAAAGATTTATAAAATCTTAGATACAGCATATAACCTGTGTTTAATCAGGAAAGCTCTGAGGAAAGATGCTCAAAGTTGCACTGCCTGCAGAGGTAAACAATAGGACTAGTCCATTTTGATCTAGCTCTATAGGAATCTGTTCCTCCAACTCTACTTGCAAACATGCAGTGCCTGCTATAACACACTGGTACACATATACACAAGGAGACCCCCTGTTCAGGAACACAAACACTGGCACAGATGACGACTGCAAAGAATTTCAGTTTGTTGGCCTTGCCATGGAAACGTGACGGCATGATGATCTTGACTGGGGTGCTAAGAAAACATCTGCTTCCCACTGCAATGATCACTCAATGCAAAGGGACAACTGTAATAGGGGCTTTGAGTGGAAGGAAAAATGCTGCCAACTTGCTAATTTTAGGCACTCTGCGTCTCTGATGAAACACTGGAAAAGGCAGAGAGGAGGCATGGAAGTTCTGTCTTTCACTTTCTTCATCGTGTCTTTCTATCATTACCCCCTGCATTTGCTATGAGAAAGCGTCTCAAAGCTCTTTGATTCTCTCAATCATTTCTCCCTCTCTTCCTGTCCCCAGCCCTCCCCCTCTGTCTTTCTCTTCCTGGCTTTCTGTCTCTTTCTCCCTTTTCCCGTCCCTCTCTTTCATTCTCAACTCCCTCCCCTTCTGTCAGTACCTGAGTAAATATAGTGTTGTGTGCTAATTAGAACACTTTCAGCAATGTGATGAGCCCAGAGACATAAACATCAAGGTGGGGAGGAGAAGAGATGAGATGGAAGGTATAGTGGCAGAGGTAACTCAGCCCAAGGGCAACACAACGCAGATGCAAGCACATCAGTTTAGAAGTGAAGCACAAGACGAGTGGTTTTGGTCTACAACCCAAGTTAGGGTCGCTCTGAAGCAAAGGGCAGTAGTAAGGCAGATGACTTTGAACTGGCAGTGATGAAATGAAGGGCACTAGCAGAGAAGGGAGCATGTGGTAGAGCTTCATCCCTGATGGGAGTAAGATACAAACGTCCTTAATGATGGCTGCTCCTAGAGACCTGGTGCAAGATCAAAAGATTATGTAGATAAACCCAACTGTTCTCCTGTTGAGGTGTGCTTCTGAAAGCAGGCCAATGCAAGGCAGATTGTTATCATTTAATATAAGATGGCCTTTCTGGGGTAATAAGCTGCAAGACATGCAGGTGAGAAGGTAATGTAGAATAGCTATGGTTAGTTTAGTTTATTTGGCCCCCCCAAAAACACAAGCGAGCACAAAATCCAATGCTTATGTACATGCATACAAAAAACCTTACTGGGCCAAAAGGAAATGAAAATGTTAAAATAATGCATCAGCATCAAAAGCACTTTGCTTATGGAAACTTCTCATTTGATTCAGACTTTAGACTTGCTTCACTAAGACTGAGCTTTTATAGTACTATCAAGTAATCCTGTTCCTGGTGTGTAGTGTTTATTGCACCACAGTCACCTCACTATTTCAGAGAAAATCCAGTAATTTGGTCCTCTAGTTTAAATGTCTACACTACTGTGTTTAACTGTAAATGTAAATCATGGCTTTACTTAAGAGTAAAAATGCAGTCAATTTTTTTGGGCTAAATAAAATTTCATAAAGAAATGTTTTTTTCCCTTTCAAAACAGTAATTATTTCAAAAGATTTGTGAAACCAAAGTCGGCCTTGGACCATAATGTAGAAAAGAAGAGGAAGCCCAAAGAAATAGGGTGAAGTGAAATGAAATAGGGTGGTAAGGTAGCACCTACCTTACCACCTTACCATGAGATGTCAACAGACCATTCAAACACAGCCTTTAATGTTACTCAGAGATGTCTCATCATTATAAGAAATCTTATGATTCCAGATTATGCCCAGACTGGTAACGATATGTGCAGTGGAAACCTCAAAGAACTTGCACAAGTCATTTTAATCTCATGTTAGATCCAGTACAAACACTGATGGAGTGGCAGAGCTATTTTTACAATGAGGTCAGTGTGAGCTGTGGGATTTTGTTCTCCTGGGAGACACACACACAGAGGAACTGTGCCGATGTTTTGTATGAGGTGAGATGTATAGAAACCCCAAGTCAGGAAGAGAAGTTTAAGGATTTTGGTTGAAACCTGATTGGTCAGAAAGTTCTTATTTAATTACTGAACAAAACTGACATTCACTCATCTTCTCTTTAGCACATAAAGAAAATACTCCCATACTTCGACCATCTCTAGTCTAGTAGAAGTAGCAAATACGGTGATAGATGACACTGCAACAAAGTACTTTACTAACCATCCAATTTCATTCCTTTAAGGGCAATATTTGTATTTATTCTTTTTAATTTTTCACTTATTTGTTTCTCTGTACACTTTAGTTACTATTTCTACTGCTACATATAGTATTTAATACCTTTTCTTAGCTGGTAAATGGTAATGCATTTATTCTTGTATCATGCTATTCTATGGCATTGCAACACACTCAAAGTGCTTTTCGCATTATTTGTCCATTCACACTCCAAAGTATACATAAACACACGCGTGTGCACACACACACACACACACACACCAGTGCCCCATTCACCGGAAGCAACTTGGGGTTTTGCCTCTTACTCAAGGACACTTCGACATATGGACTGAAGAAGCCAGGAATTAAACCACCAATTCTCTGGTTAGGAGATGACCCACTATTCCACCTGAGCAACAACTGCCCAGTATTTAGATTTAGCCTATGTTTTGTTCTTTTTTTTTTTTTTTTTTTTTTTTTTTTTTTTTTTACATTTTTTGAAGTTGTCTGGTCTTCTACTTCCACATGATATCATTAAAATTTTATCTCATATTAAACCAACTGAAGTTTGGCTAAAAACCCTTTACCAACCATAGGATTCCTTCTTCCTCAGCTGCTCACTCCTCCTCTTTCTGGGTGGTGCCTGGGTTCTGGTCCTGACCCTCCTTCTCCATACTCCCCCTGTAAAGACATCAAACATTAAGCCTTTATTTTAAAGTGTGAAAAACGAGAATGGAGAGTTCATTAATATTAAATAAATTGTGTCTAACAAATAATAATATGAATACAAAGGTAACGGCATAATGTAAAAAAAATGTAATGTCTTAAAAAATTAGTGGAGTTGACACCAATGCCTGGCACTTCACCTTTCAGGTACTGTTACCAAAATTAAGCCAGTTAGCTCCATCAAAACCAGAATTACTGCTTCATGGTTGTATGCCCCTGCCACCCAGTCAAATTCACAGAACTGGGGCAGATGTGAGGTCAGTGACCTTGACCTTTGTGTCCAAGA